GTGGGGACGCGGGAGGGGAGCCGCCGCCGAGCCGCCGCCCTGCGCAGCCCGCCGAGGCCCCGCCGCCCGCCGTCGGGCGCAGACGCTCCCCCTGGTGGGGCGGGAAGGGGTCGCTGGGAGGGGAGCGGTGTCCCCTTCCTCGCCCTGCATCCTTTCGGCCTGGGGCGCCCGCCCACCTGCGCGCGGGAGGGACCTTCCTGGCTGGCCGAGAAGGGCAGCCCCTGGCTCCTTTCCTCGCTGCCCCTAAGCATTACTCTTGCGTCGGGGTAACCGCTCTCCTTGGGATCCCAAGGGGAAAGATGGGCACGGGGAAGCCCGCTCGGGTCGGGCAGATGTGCGGCTTGTTGCTAGTGCAGCGTGAACTGAAACATGGTTGGCGACATCGCACTGCCCCTGTCTTCTAACCTTTTCATTTTCCCTGCGCGGATGGGATCTACAAACCGTAGGGCGTTGTCACTAGCTTCTTTGATAGTTTCCTTCCCCTCCTGTCTTCCCACCCTCCCCGTCTCCAGCCGCTCCTTTTTTTTTTTCACTGTGAGCCAGAAGTTGTTGCTATTGGGCACCTGGACAGCTCAAGTAACGTTGTCGGTCTTTCCTCCTGCTGGACGCTTTCCTGAAATTTCCTCCCCAAAGCAAGCTCTGTTGGAATAGGCAGGTTAGGGATATGTATTTGTATTCAAGAAGTGAGATGTTACTCAGACATGTTGTATAGGAATTAATATTTTAGATTATCAGTAAAATGTGGACTTGCACTGAACTGAAAACAAGGTTTACAGTTGCATCAGCCACATCAGTTGACAGATATTTATTGTACTAGGAATGAGTTAAGATTTAGTCTATTATCTGTACAAATGGGACCATGCCATATCAGAGGGGAAGTAGAGAAAGTATACTTATTTGTTATTGAATTTTTAAGTGAGTTTGTTAGTCATATTCCTCTAACATGGGCAGAATCAAGTGCCTCCCCCCCCAAAAAAAATAGTTTATGTGACCTCAGTTTTGCAGTGTCATAGCATTTGGGCTAGTGTCTGTGGGCAGAGTTGAACTCGTCATGAAAATAGTATAAAAAAGTAAAATACTAAAAATATCACCTATTTTTTCCAGTGAAAGTTACCCAACTCTCTTGATTTTTATATACAGTACTTTATGTTTATGACAGCAAAGTGCCATGCTTTACCTGCTTTGTTCCAAGCAAGGTACTGTAGGGGAAGCAAAAACCTTCAAGCTTAGAATTATATAAAATAAGCAGAGAACAGTTACAACTAGCATCGGATAGATCATCAGTTCCTACTCTATTATAGACAGCACATATTTTGCAGGGCAAAAAAGTTAAGAAATCTTTGATTAGTGAGATTGGGGGATGGGAGGGCAAGCAGTGGTTACTGTTGTAATTTTTGCTTTCTGGCTTCTTCACCTTTCCCCATTTGCCTTGTGAGTTTCTGCAGCTCAGGCTCTTTGGATCTCTACAAAGCAGAAAGAGCTCTCTGGATTCTCTTAGAGGAAAAAAAATTCAAGCTTTCCCCTCAGAAATAGCATCTTAAATTAACTTTAAATTTGCATCATGTCTAGAATTTAGCCCAACAAGTTTGTTATTTCTTTTAACCTAAAAGGAAAAAAAAAGTCACAAGGTATCGCAGCTCTGTATGGTGCCAATTAAGCCACAGAGCATCTTACTAGGGAGCAAACTGAAGTTGAATTTTGCAAACCCACTGCCAATCTCTTTATGAAACTTTGAAGACCCAATTAAAAAAGTAATATAAACAATTTTTTAGCAGAAACATCAGTTTGTTTCTGCTTTGGTGTTATTTTAGATTATAATTCTATGTAATAACTATTCGTTAAATGCCACTCTTCACTCAAAAGCGTTGGGGGAAATAAAACCTAAAATCATAGATCAAAGAATTGAATAGGAACTTAAAAGTTATCCTATCCAGTCTCCCATAGACTCTGTTTAAGCAACTTTTATTGCTGTTTTTTTTCTTATGTTGTGTTAAAAACGGAATCCAGTTAACAGTTTCTAAGAATGTAATAAGCCTTCTTTAATCCTTTGCTTTATCTCTTTCCTTCATTCTTCTAAAAAAATTTTTGTCACATTTTCTTCCACTCTCTCTTCCTTTAATTCTCCCATTCATCCATTCCCCAGACCTTCATTTTCTTCTTTTCTTCCGGCATCTGTTAACTGCCAGACACTGTGGACTGATGCAAAATGAAAAGTCATGTTCCTTACCCTGGAGGAGTCATGATCTAGGACGGCAGTTCTCAGAATTCCCCCTCCCCTCCGCAAGGATAGATAATATTCACATGTTCAGCATCTTCCAGGGTAAAAGCAAAGATAACGTAGACTGTGGCTGACACCCAGTCTCAGGACTCATCAGTTGTAGCTCTGCCCCACCTAAGCAAAGTATATTGGAATGTAAGTGGGCAGGAGTGACATTATAGAAGTAGCCTTGAATCTACTGTAGTTTAAGGGGGGGGGGGAAGTAAACGGTTTTCATACTTCAGTACTTCGGCTTTTATTAGCACAAGTTACAGTCCATCGCAGTGCTGATGAAGGCTACCAGGATGACCCAACACTGGTGGAGAACCTCTGGTCTTGGAGGAGCATTAGTTACTTGTCAGCTGCTTGCTCTGTAGCCCTTCAAAGATTCTAAGGGAGCTGTGAGTCCTCTCAGTCTTTTCTTAAGACCATCACTGTGTTAGTAGACCCTGCACTGTCAGTTGGATGTTATACTTCCTCAGTGTCTAAACATGGTGTCCAGAACTAAAAATTCTGAGTACTACACTGCCATTAATCCAGCCTAATATTTCCTTAGCTCAGTTGTCGTTACATTGTAAATAATAGTTATTAAACAACAACTAGGTATTAGGCAGTTTGCTAGACTCTCGGGGCTCAAAAAGCAAAGGAACACAGAATCTGCCTCCAACAAGGCAAAGCAATGTGATAGGTGCTATAATAAAAACGTATATGTGTCCCTAAAAGGGCATTATGAGGCATAAATTAAGGGCATAACCTTTATCTGTGGAGGTCCACAAAGGTTTGAACTTGAATCTATTTAAGGGAGTATTTAGACATGGTGCTTTGTATTCAAGGAAAAGGGTGGTATGGGATATGGGGGAACTTGGAGGCATCTCAAGTAAGGGGACAAACATATGCAAAATCACTTAGGGAAGGAAGCCTTAGGCTTTTTAGAGAAGAGCAAGTGGTTACAGGGGATGAAATCTGGATGTACAAAGGGACTTCTTAGAAGAAAGGAGAGGTAAACTGGACTAAATCCTGAAAGGCCTCATATGCGCTTCTCAATTGGGACATTATCTTATAGAGTGATGAGCCATGGGAGGATGTGAAGTCAATGCATTTCAGAAATACATTCTTTACGAAAGAAATTGACGGCTATGGGTGCCTTTAGCAGGAAACTGGATGACTAAGAGTCCAGCGCAAGGGGCAGACTTTTTCCTGTGTATCCTTTTGCAACTTTTTGTTTTTGAACCTTATGAACATATGAGAGTCAAAAAAAATTAACTGTTAGAAAAAATATTTTTTAACTCTCACTTTATGTGGAAGATAGATTGGAGAAGAGCAAGACCAAAGTGGTGGTAAAACAGGAGACTTGCAATCATCTAGTGGAGACATGATGAGGCAAGCACCGTGTGTGGAAAGGAAAAACTCTAGTTGTATTTGGAAGCGGAATTAGCGAGGTACAGAGATTGATGTGGACAGAGAGAGAAAGGAAGGAATCTTAATTACCTCCTAGGTTTCTGGAGAGATTGTTGGGAGGATGGGGAATAAAAGTTCAATAGAAATAATGAATCCATTTATAACATTAAGGCATCTAAGGGACAGTCAGGTAAGGATATCCAGGAATATACTCCAAAAAAAGGTCAGTCTATAGAGATACAGATGGAGTGTCATAACCAAACAAATGGCAGATAATGATTATGGATGAGATCTCCCCAGTTTGTAGAGTTAAGGGATCCAAGGACAGAACACTTCCTTAGAGAATATTTATAATTAAGAAGATCCACAAGCAATATAAGCCTATGGAAGACACAGAAAGAAAAGTAGTCAGTTTATGTTAGAATGTCCCCAGGAAGTTATAGTGATTAAAATTAGTTTGTGGGTAATTGTTAACTAGGGTAGATGATTCCTATCTCTTGGTTTGAAATTTTTTTAGGTTAAAACATTTGTAACCCCTTCATGATGATGAATTTTAAGCTTCATTTACCCTGGAAGAAATAAGCTCGGAACTCTTTTCTGTGGAAAATCTTAGCGTCGTTCATAAAGACTCCCTTGGTCTATCTCTAGGTAGATGTAGGTGGTTGGTCCTGGTAGGGTTCTTTTTTTTTCTTTTTTCTTTTCTTTTTTTGGTAGGGTTCTTTTAATAAGAAAATGTCAACCCTGCCTGTCTCTCAGTTGATTCACTGAGTATCAGGCACATTGATCTTTGTTGATCTATTTTAAGGGAAGCAATATCCTTGGATGGAAGGATAGGCTGACAGTCTAAATTGTACCCCTGGATCAATTGAGATTATGGGCGGGGGGAGAGATAATTAGACTGTCCTGTTTCTGGTTGCTGTTTTTTTTTTTTTTAAGATTTTTTTATTGGGGAATTAGGGGATGGGAACAGTGCCGGGGAATTGGGGGAAGGGGAACAGACAAGTGGCTGTCCTTTTGTTCTTCAGTCTATCTGTGGAGGACATTGTTTCACTGGCCCAAGTTGGCACCATCATTGCGCTCTTCCCGGGCGAGGCAGATCAGTCGCCAGCTTCTGGATGGCTGCTCACTGCAGCTGCTGGCCGCTCATGC